TGTACATACATGTCCTTGTACATATGTGTCCTTGTACATACGTGTCCTTGTACATACGTGTCCTTGTATATATGCATGGAAAGGTATACAAAATCTACAGCGGGGGATTTACTTGGAAGCATACTGATTTCAGTGTAAATTTACCCCTGAGTAACTGAGAGGTGATATCCTGAATATAGTGGAAGAAAAATATACTTCACATAACCCTACAGTATATGTCTTAATAGGAATTTTTTTATTACTTTTTAAAAAAAATCCCAGTGTCTGTTTCACCTGGAAGCAAATGTGACTTCCTATTATGAAAGAAGTTTTCTGCAGTTTGCACATAATATCAGAATTTGAGAGATAATGATATCAACATATGAGCTATTACATGTCATTCAGTTTTGCATTTTCAAATTCTTCATCAGAGAATGAATTGGAAGCCCCATGCCCATCACAGCCACAACAAACCCCAAACCTTCTTTACAATTTGTTTTCAAGAACTGAACTTCCTAGGTACCAAATGTATAATTACCGATATTAATGTTAAAAATAATTAAATCTTAAAAAGGAGAATGCTTGCAACAGAGAAATTCTGATTTCTGAGAACTGCACTGACTTAGGGTTAATTTGGTCCTAACATAACTTCCAGGTATAATTTTCCTAATCATTCAAATGGCAGTCTGCTGCACATTTAGCATATATTTTAAATCAAACCACACATGTAAAATAGAATAATAATCTTAAATTATATGTGCTCTACATTTTTATTTTAGGTCTGTTTCTTTTCATAAAATTTTGATGCAATTAAACAGCACAGCTGTTAAAAACTAATGACGTCTAAGGTCATGATGGATACTGGAGCTAATTCCAATCCAGTGCAATCTCTCCATGTAAATATTTTTGCTGGCATAAAATACAGGCTCTGCGTCCATATTGGGGGAAAGCATTGCATGTGGGCACAGTGAAATAGAGCTATAACACCAGAATAAAAACAGTATTATACTGCATAGAGAAAGACTTATTTTATGTAGATTGGCTTATACTGCAGAAGTTTGTCAATTGAGACAATTTTAAAGTACAGGGTGGGGGAAAATCAGAAACAATTGAAATAATTGAAATAACTGACCTGCACAGAGGCAGCAAGGCTAGAGAAATTTATGCCGCTATTTCAAATTTACCAATGTCAGCAATGACTACAACCAACTACCACATGCTAAGCGCTGAGAGACCCACGTAAAACAAATGCACAGCTCCCAGGATGTGCAAACTTGCCCTAAGCCACTGACTGTGCTTGAGGAGCAAAAACTCTTTCAACAGACACACCAAAATGAAGATGGGTGTGAAAAGGGAGTGCTACAGCCCCCTGCCCTGCCCCAGCTGGGTTTGCCGAGGAGCAGGCAGGTACGGCCCCAGCCAATCCCACCTGTGAGCGGGATTTCAGACACTGCAATCCTGGACTTGTACCTAGGACTTCTTTTCAACCAATCATAAGAGATGTGTTCAACATCCCTGCAGCAGGGAAAGTATCAGGTTAGTTTCTCCAAGGGGATTTCAACCTCCTAAACCATGGATCCCAACCCTGCCTCCTTCCAGGGGTGACCAGAGAACATCTTCCACCCTGATAAACAGCTTTGGCAACACAAGACCCAACTCTTCTTCTGGCATTGGTCCATTCCCAGGCAGGGGTTGGAGAGAAAAAAACCCCACATCTCATATCTTAAAGAAAATTCCACCCTGTCCTTATGACTCCTTCTTTCTAAATACACTGGAGATGAGCAAAGTTAGCAACCTGATCTAATTCAGGTATTTCTAAATGTTGTGAAGCTTGACATTATAATATTAATTCATATTTCTCCCATATAGAAAATTATGATCAAAAACCCCCTCAATTTTGCAAATGCTTTCAAACAGTTAGAGAGAACCAGATAAAAGTATTTGTTATGAACCCAAGGCTTTAGCTGATTTACATTTCCAAAAGTCACACTCTGTATGTTTCAGAGAGAGGAAAAAAAAATGCAGCAAGATGATTTGTGGTCAGAAGAAAACCAAACAATAATCCAAGGAAAAAAGTGAACATTCTTCCTAAAGCAACATTATTGCTATTATGTTCATAAAAAAATATTTTGAAAATACAAATATGAAGAAATTATTATCGTAGAGGGAAAAAATTCACCAGCCATCCAAAACCCAAGATGGTTTCTAGAATGATAAAATAAGAGCAATTTTATTATTCCAATACAGATTTATAGCAGTTGGTCAGAATCCTGTTTGCCCGTGTTCCCAACTCCTTGAGTAGAGAGAGGGGTGGTAGAAAAATTTACAAAGCTTTTTCCAAAGTTAAGGATGTGACCATGCTGTAGCAGGGATGGAGACAAAACCATTTCCAGAAATTCTTAAATACATCCATAGGTGACCCTTAATGGCCAATCTTTACTGGTTTTATAAGATCAGTGTTTTGGCAGAGCCTTTTTTTCCAAATGCTCTGCAGCGGGGTCAGTGAGGGGCATGCTGACACCCTGCAAATAGCTGTGAGCTAACAGAGGCAACTGCATTTGTCCAAGTTACTGCTTGAGAATGGGTATGCAGCTGCCATATTTTCTTTATCTTTTATAGTGTCTGGCAGGAGTCAGGATCGTATATTAGGGTTTTTAGATTTGAGGTACTTAAAGGCCCTCATTGCATCACTAAGATATATAGGAATCCTTTGTCTGGATATCCTATGGCAGTGAAAAAAGCCTCAGCCCTTCCTTGAAACATATTAAACATTTCTTTTGATCATTAAAATAGCTTTGGCTTGACAAATATTTGGACTAGGAGCAACTATGTTTTAAATATCATGTAAGCACTATCTTCAGAAGATGATGGCAAGTCAGACGCAATGTTGTGTTTGTTTGCTTTTATTGGCCTGATGCTACTTGTCAGCTTTACTGCTCTAGGGGTAGAAAACACAACTTGCATACAGAGAAGGCCACTCTTTCAAGTAGCCTGGAAAAAAATCATGCCATTTAGAAACTGAAAATCTCTAGGGATTGCTGAAGAAGTTAGCACCATCTATCCTCATTAAAGCTGTCAGGTGGAAGATCCTTAGGGTTTATAAAGCTGGAATAGAAAGAGGGAGAAAAGATCACTGGATCTATATTTGGGCTGTTGTTACTCCACTGCTATGTTATAGGGGAAGATGACATCCTACAAAAAAAAGATACTGAAGGTATTTATGGGGATATGGTGACAAACAACAGAGATCAGAGCAGACTAAATACATCCACTTTCACCTCTTGGAAGCTGTACGAACGTTAAGGATGGAGATCACCCAAAAGTCCCAGACATCATTTATGAAAATATCAAAAGAGCCTCAAACACAAATTAGATTGCAGAAACTGAATAAATTAAAAGACTGCACATGGCTGAACTTCTAAGGAAGACTGATAGGTGCTACAGCAGCTCAGCCAAAAGCCAAACAGATACCTTCCAACAGTTTTGAATATGAAGACACCTCCTTCCAAAGTGCATGAGAGAGAGAATGCAGTGGTTTTAAAATGCATCCAGAGACACAGAAGACTTTCTCAGCTTAGTTTACCCATACTTGGTACATTTTTGCCAAAAACCTTCCCTTCCATTTCTTTGAAACTAGATTCTAGTTGAGTCTCTCTCTGGTTTGGGGTGTGGCCCTTCATCCTGAAAGGAAAGAGAATTCCTTGTGGGAACTGGGTCTCTGAACAACCATGGAAACTTCCAGATGCTGTTTGGTCTGCTGTGTTGGACTGTCGTAGCCATGACTACACTCAGACCCTGCAGGGTAAGAACCACCATGCTTCTTACAAAGGGAAATGACATTTTATAATTAGTTTATTTCCCATCTGGGAGTTTGTCCCCCATAATCTGTTCCAGATGCAGGAGTAAAACTCAGCCAGGCTTGTAACAGAAACATAGTTCATGGGGCTAGCCAAATCCCTAACACCAGAAAGACAAGGGCTATTTGAATCCACTGCCATGCGTTGAGTCCCTAAAAAAAGACCTAGGTCCCACGAATGACTCAAGCATGACTTCTGGAAAACTCAAGCTCCTGATGCTTGGCTTGAAGTGTCACTGCAAACTGTTAGAAATGAAGACAGTTAAACTCCCTTTTTTGATCCTGTCACTGCTGAGGACCTCTATCTACCCAAAGAAACACAAGACTGGGTAAGAGGCAGCTGGGTGCCCAGGGCCCTCCTTGGGTACCTCTCTCCAGCAGTTTGTCTGACTTCAGGCTCCTCGCAAGGATGGGAGCCAGTGCACTTACTGCCCTGGAGAAAGTTATTTTCCAGTGGTCTTTTCCTGACGGGAAATAAGGCAACCCAAGCAGCAGCAGCCACCACTTGTCTGTCTTCTCAGGCAGGAAGGGACAAGAGGGAAGAAGGGGGAATTCCCCTTGCTGAGGTTTCCCATCCTAGATCTTTTCCTTTTGCCAGCTTCTACAAATGATTCAGATGGGAAAGAAGAGTCAGGGGGAAAATTTCCCTCTAAAATTAAATGCAGGCCTGAGACTGAAAGGAAAATTAGAAGGATATTTAACTGAGTTGTCAGTTTAAGAACTGAAATACAGTTTGACATTTATCAAGCAAGCTCTGTTGCGTGGAGGAACAGCAGAGTAGTTGTGACTGCAGTGACAAAAAAAAAATGAGGGAAGTGCAGTCCAGGTTTGAGCTTTGACATTTGCCCAAAGATCTGAAGTTAATAATTTATATGGGAATGCCATTTGCACACTAGACTATTAAAAAAAACCAAACAACAAAACCTGAATAGTAGATATCTAAATAAAGCATGAGGCATAAATGACAGGGGAAAGGTTAAGAGCAAAGACAGCTCACCATAAACCCATGCTGAGGTAACCCAAGGCAAAATATGACCTGTACTGAACATCTTCAAATATCACAGGAAAGCTGATGCATTTTTTTTCCCTCTGGTACATCAATTAAGACTCATTTTTTTCTCTTGTGAGCATCACAAGAGTGAAGAGAAGAGAAAGAGTCTGTTACCTTGAATGTCATCATTGAAAGTGCAATACTTGTTACGGTACTTATGCAGGAGGCGGAATGCGTTAGCATTAGCAAAATCCTCAAATTGAATGAGGCAGTTCATGCCATACCTAGAAAGACAAAAAACTGTGCATTACATTAAAAAAAATACATAATTGCATGTTAAAAAGATATTAACATTTGTAGTCAGCTTTTGAAAACAAGTATAATATAATTTATACATCTGCTAATATGTTTCTGTTATATTCTGTATCTTTACATGCATATAAATTATCCTGGAAGCATAATTAGACTACTACTACACTTTACTGAGTTCTAAGTTAAGAAAAAAAGATCGAGGAAAAGGCCTTAATCTCTCTGCAGACATCTCAACAGAAGTCTTCGCTGAGCAATCAGCTAGTGAGCAAGAAAACCTGGCCCCATAAGGAAGGAAGCAAAAAGGTAACACATCCAGAACATGGATTTTACGTTGTTGTCATTATGCAGGTCAGCAGCATGACATCACTCACAACACAATGCTCGACCGTTCCTACTATAAGAGGGGTGTTGATCAGAAACACGGTTAATCTAGACATATGATAAATGTGTGAGAACACTTTAAGGAAGGCAAGCAATAGCTGCAAATTTGAATTGTGTTACACTTGGCTAACAGACACCAAAACCTTGGGTATATCCCGAAATGAGGTTACCTACATTTCTTACATCTACTGTTTCACTGGATTGTCAAAACTGATTTTCTGATATGATTGCTAGGTGTTTCTTAAACAGTATGCTAAGAATCAATGTTATCATCCATTTCAATGTCTTCTCGTCCTTTTAGCTAATGAAACAACTCAAACTGACATTTCCTATAGTACTTTGAAATCTCTATACACTATATTTTGAAAACATAGTATGCAGCAGCATCAGATGAACAATATCTATCATTTATCTGATATTTAGCTAAGTCAGTTCAACAGCACGTGTAAGTAACTTTTGGCGAACCTTGTGGTAAGAGTCTCAAAGTTAATGCCAGTCATTAAATTTCTTGGAAACATTCACTGTGTTATCTTGCTGCCTTGGACCCACTATGTACTAAGGCTGCACTACCAACAGGGAGCAAACAGCAACATCTTCCTAGTGTAGGTAGGTGCCTATGTTGACTTCAGCAGGCATAAGGCATCTCAAATACATCTAAAAGTCATTGAATAGAGGAACACAGGAGTACTCCAGAGGAACACAGAGGAACTCCAGACTCCTGGCATATGCCAATATCTAACAAGTAAAGAATTGGCACTGGTGTGCCAATAAAGTTACTCCTAAAATGAAAGTTACTAACAAGTTAAATTAATTTAATATTACTACTATGCATCCTCCAGTCCTTAGATGCATTTCATAATAGTGCTGTCTCTGAATTCCTTGCTTAACTTTCCCATGTGGAATTTTCAAATACTTTCTTAAAACAAAAACAAAAAAACCCACAAACCCCCCCAAAATACCAAAGACATTTCTAGACATAAACTATGTAAAGATTGAATTAAAGCTCACAGCACACTGGCAACAGGAAAAAGAAAAAAAAAAAACAAACATAACTTGAATACTATCAATCTCATATGGGAAAAAAAAATAAAACACAAAAAATTTAAAATATAGGATTAGTACTAAAACTGTCTGTACACATTTGGATCTGGAAATATCACATAAACATTATCGCACCCAGGAATAATATTACAAGAAAAAGTTCTTTAAAAAAAAAAAACTATTTGAAATAAACCTAACCTGGCAATTTGCACAGACGAAGGAACCATTTGGTTAAAACTTTCAAAAAATACTGCATTAAGGTGTTGCTATGAAATTATTACCATTAGGGTCTAATAGGGTAAGATCTCAACAGCACATGTCCTGTTTGAGCCAAAGGAGGTTTTTCTTTATCTGCTAACAGCACAAATCGAAGAGAGACAGTTAAGGAGTTCCTGCTTCATCCAGAAAAGCAATAAATACATAAACTGAGCAGTTCAGTATAAATAATCTACTTTAATATTAACAGAGTTTTTCTTTAAACCATGCACGTGTTTGCCAACCATCTTAAGCAAAGCCATCAATATAAAAAAAGGACAAAAATTCCTGTGACTAAATTAATTTCCATGGAAATCACGTATTTACAGCCATATTACAATTAGCCAAAACTACTGGGATTCCACTGGCAGGAATGGTAATCCCTGCTGAAAATAAATACATCTTCAGGTTTTATGGAAAAACCTGGACTTCTTCAGCAGCACAATGACAGGCAACCGCTTAAAAGAGAATTTGGCGAGTCAGTAATTCAGTACAGTAAAATCACAACTGAGTTCAAATAAGAAACTGGAGCTACTTTTCAATAATTAATTTAAATTTCTAACCTGATTCAGTATCTGACACAAATTTCTGTGATTCCATAAGTGTCCAGGAGCTGACAGTTGCATAATAATAGGAAACTAATGAGATTAACACCCTGAAATCCTGGAGCCTGGTTAGAAGTGTTTCTTGGATGTCATTAAGCCAATGTCTGTTTCTTTATTTTACCATATATAACATTCCATTTTCTCATCTGCATTTGATTTTTCTCCATTTTCTTACCCACTGCCTTTGTAGACATGGATCAAACCTCCCTGTGAATAATATTAAATCAGTGTCCCTGTAGAAAACACTCATACTACACTGGGCACGCTATCCATACTAATTCTTTGAGCAAGATATCGTGGCTGTTTAATTAAAATGGAAAAAGTGCAAGCAGTCTAATTCTGGGCCTCTGAGATTTTGGCATTATAGCAGAAAAATTTCTAAGCAGCATTCTTATTCGCTGCAAGTGTTCTACATGACACCCAGGTAAAAACCTGAGACTTCAGTGCTGCCCGCGACCAGTAGTGCCTCATAAGATTCATGAAGTATGAGATCTATGTCCTCAAAAATTCTGATCAAATCCAGTCCCTGGCTACCCGTGATAGACAAGAAAATGACACAGTGTTTCTCTGCTTGGAGTATTCCCATTCTCAAAACCACTAACAGATGAAACATACAGATGAGGTAATATAAAATAGTTAGCCTCTGGCATTCCAGAAAATCTCCTTGCAATAATGAATTGTCTACAAAGGTGCCACATGGTCCTGGAAGCAGTGACCATACCAAAACAGCCATCAATTTTTCTGTGATTTCCACATCTTACTATCGCAATCACTTCCAGCAGAAAGTTGAACCATAACCTAAAATGATGGACACAGTCAAGAGCTCAACTCCACTTTCCTTCCTGTATCACTCTGCAATAACTTTCTGCCCCTACTGCACTCTGATGGACAGTTTTAGGTCGTGGTTTCTCAACAATAAAGGGCAACTGTATGAATCAACCCTCATGAAAGCAGAACATGTCCTTTCTGTTTGCTCCTCATACCCTGCTGTCATCGCAAATTTTCGGTTTGGAACTACACTTCTTCATAGGTGGGTATGATAGACAAATGACTACTGGATGAGAAGGGAACCGAGCACTTTATTGCTTGCCCATGTGCAGTCATCAAACCCTGTTGTGCCTTACACACCATGCTGTAATTCATATTACCTTTCAAATATTATGGAAAGAGAAAAAAAAGTGTACAGCTATCCTAAAACATGACAATCTTAACTTCTATCATCAATACTTTATACAGATATGGCACAGATTGATTTCATTGAGTTTCTTCAGATGACACGGAGAGACTGATCAGGTAGGTTCAGAAGCAAGTAACTGAGATTTGCTACAAACAAAATAATCGGATTTAAAACCACCATTGAATGGTTGTGATTGACCTTTACAGGGGGTATGTTAAAAGCAAAAGGCCTGCAGTTGAGTGCCAGCAGCTTCAGGCAGGACAAGAAGATTAAGAGGCAAGGTTATAAGGAACTGTCATGATAGAAAACGCTGTAAGAGATATTTCTCCATATTTTAAAAATAGTGGACTACCTATCATTATAGTGTGAAATAAGGGTGTTAATCTGTGTACTGCTTATCTAAGTTGCTAAACTTGATCATCATACACCTTAGGAGAATTTCACCTTCCTATTTGAAATTTTAAGACATACACATTTAAAATGTAACCTAAAATCCTTTCAATTTGAATGGGTCACCAACAATAGAGTCATGGGAGCAAGTAGACTTTGTACGCGGTTGCAATGATGCAAACACGAGTCACAAACAATGTATCATGCCTTATCGCTTGCCCAAAACAGAGACAACATTTCTCCAGCTATTACTGCTTTTGATCCAGGGATACATAGGGGATAACTGCAAAAATGGAGAAACACATAACTAACATGTGTGTTGATATTGAAAGGTGGTACAAATAAACAAAAGAGAGAACCTATCCAGTGGGCATCAACTGTCTCAACCAGAACACTTGAAGAAATGACAGGTCTAGTCCTAAACTACCAAAACTAAGAAAATAAATGAAAATCTGGGAGACATTCATCCTCAGTGTGCAACCATAAAAAATGTCCTAGGGAATTCTTAACTATTTTCTTGCTCTGGAAAACACTTCTCTGATAGCAATAGCTTGGCTTGAGTAGCCTGGCTAGGACTGCTGAATTCTTGCAGGCGAGTGTTTTGTAGCTGTGAATTCCTCTCTTCTGCCTGTTTGGGATCTGTCACTACGGTAGCTGATTAGACACACATCATCCCTAGAAAGTGATAATCCAGATCACTCTTCCCGCTTATAAATCCTGTTTTGTCACCCACATCTTTGTGTACTTGGATCTTAGTCTCCTGCTCCAAGTCACACAGGCAGTCTGAATCAGGATCCAACTGGAGAGAAGTTCAAAGCCATCTTTCCTTTTTTTGTTATGGACAGAAAATACAGAGAAGAGTGGTGGCAAGCATGCAACATCAGATTTGTCATCAAGTATGGGAGGCAAACACCGGACAATGGATTAAAAAGAACCATCCCACTGAATAACGCGTGGTTGCCAGAGAACGCTGTTTCCAATATTTCTCCCAATTTACAACATGTTTTGTGTGACAGTCTTAGCTTAGTTTTCCCCATTTATAAATAAATCTATATTCAGTTGTCTGTGACAACAATGTTCATCTTTCAAATCATTCTACAGATTATGTCTTTATGTAATAGGC